AGTCAAGATTATTTTTTTGTGTAGTCTTCTACTCGCTGTTATCAGGTATATTTGATTGTGTACAATAGGATCTTGAGCAAAGTTTTTACCATTAAATTATGCAAAAGGTGTCAGACGCAAAACATTTCAGAAACTGTATGTATCAAATATGATACATTTGGCATTACAGGGTTAAAAACATTTTTGGTTATTTTGAAGTAGTTCTTCGTTTCTGTTATAGAAACTACTAAAGCTTATAAGTACATTATTTAGCTCTTTATATACATTTTAGCCACCATTAAGAGCCACTGTCCAAAGAGCCTCATGTATCTCTGGAGCCGCAGGTTGCAGACCCCTGATGTAGATGAAAATCATTTAAACAGTTGAATATTAACCATTTAGGATGATGTCTGGTCACTGAGTTCATGGAGCTCCGACCTGCTGATGGAGGTTTTAACTGACTTAGAAACATAACTATCATTCCTGCTGCCTCCTAGGTGGTCACATGTCCAAACACTACCTTCACCGACCTGGCAGAGATCGTATCGAGAATTGAACCCGTGAAGAACGCTTTGATAGACGGTCAGTTGCCTGAACGTGTGGAAAATCGATCAGACGATGAGGCAGGAAGTGATGCGTTCATATGCCTCCTGGTAAAGCGGTGATCCTCTGACTGTCCTTCCTGTTTGGTTTCAGAGGAGCCGTCTGATGAGTACCAGACAGACTATGATGAGGAGGCGGTAGAAAGTGCTTTATCGGACTTTGAGGCGTTCGCCCCCGGCAGTGAACACACAGAGGGAGAGGAGACTGCTGAAACTGTGAGTAGAAGAGCTTCCTTCACACCTTCTATATGTTATATTATGTGTATCCATAAGAGACGTGGAATAAAAAAGCTTCCAGCAGAATTTCGGTCTTGATTTTTGACGTTGCAAATTTATTCTCCAAAGGATGGAGGTGAGAGGTAACCTGACTCTGCCAGATGGATTTGCTCCGCATATCCATCTGGAAACCTTCCGTTGAAGTCATTTTGGGAAGGGG